AGATTGTAACTGAAACATAATATCTTTTAGGTAAAAAGCTTAAAAAAGAGGACATGAACAGCTAGGCACTGGAATTCGCTGATAACCCGAAGACTATAATCCGGGCCATTTCAAGGCGACAGTGAATAGGCACTTGAAGGGCAGATATGTACCACCCTAGACTGCATCCCACTTAACATCAGGTGCGATTGAGGTCTTTATCTGCCTTGTTATGCATTAAAAAATGAGATATTACATGGGAAATTGTTGAAAAATGAAAAATCAATTATTTCAGATGATGATCCATGACATTATTATTATACAAGTATTATACGATGATGGTCTTACAGAATAAAATGATGATGACATAAAAAGAATACGATAAGTCTGCTAAAGTCGAGATTGCTAAATTAAATACTAGCTCTAAAACACAATGACAACCGTCTGAATTTGTGATTGNATTATGTATCTTTTTCAAAGTTGGCTGTCTTTGTAACCATAAATCAAACTAAAGTAAACGATGCCAGCGAATAAATCCTCTGCCAATATTAATACTACAGTTTCAATAACAGAAAGCTGTATAAGCTATGAGCTGTATAAATTAGAATCAGCGGAACATGAAATGTAGATGTTTTTGCTGTACAGACAACAGACGATAATGTAGCATTCTTATATCGTTGCAATACGGTCGTTTTTGCAACAAAAATGAATATTCCGATGTGCAGTCGACTGTACAAGTTTTCCCGGAACCGTTGATTGTTTCTGGAAATGTTTTAATTTTCCCGAAACGCAAATTACTTTTTCCCGGAAGTATTAGGTACCGAAAGTAGTTTTCAGATGGCGGTGGTAGGTATTGTAAGTCGCTAGAATGCAAGAACCTATTTTGTTCAAGAGATATTTACTGATTTTCAAACAAACTATTGCAAAGGAAGAGTAGGGATTCTACCAATTAATTTTACAAACTTTAGTTTATGTTGATGAAATAAAACAAACTAGTACAACTAAATTTTCAATGTCCAAATTGAGTTGTTTACCAACTTTCAGAATATTGAAAGTAGGCTGTACAAATTCTTAGAAAGTTGAAATTGTTTCACTCATAGATAGAACACAGAATACCTGGTCTACGCAAAATTTGATAAGCGCATGAAAAAGTTGACAGAATTTTACATAATATTTTTGCGTTTCAGCAATTGAAGGTAAGATAGCCAAGTCCTCTGTGGTTGAGGATTCCGGATGAAGCTCGCTTCCACCTTCAGCTTGATCATCACTTTCTATTGGGAGATGCAAGCCAAGAGCTTCTCCGTTGTATTTCGAAATTTTCATGGTGTTAGAAGCAAATTATTTCACTCTCTTTGTCAATTAAGATTTGTTAAATCTAAATATAACTAAAAGGTGACTAACTGACTTAGTGATTTATCAACGAACAGCCCAAATCACTGTACGGATCGGGCTGAAATTTGGCATGCAGGTAGATGTTATGTTATGACGTAGGCATCCGCTAAGAAAGGATTTTACGAAACTCCACCACTAAGGGGGTAAAACGGGATCCACGCGCTAGTAAGTCTGTATAACTAAACCCTTTTACCTTAACGGATAAAGCAAAATTCAAGTGAAAATGGTGAATTCTGGTTCATCATCATCATCATCATTTCAGCCACAGGACGTCCACTGCTGAACATAGGCCTCCCCCAATGCTTTCCATGTTGATCGATTGGTAGCGGCCTGCGTCCAGCGCTTCCCTGCTACCTTTACGATGTCGTCGGTCCACCTTGTAGGTGGACGTCCCACGCTGCGTTTTCCGGTACGCGAATTCTGGTTAGAATAATTTTATTTTATTATTAAAACCACTTTAGGACTACGATCCCTCATTGTTACATAGCCTAATTTGAAAATGCCTCAAGGGATAAACAGAGTTTATAATAATTGAAGAAAGTTTAGGTAGTTAGGTATTAACGTAACGGAAATAAATGTAGTGCTCTCTGTGTGAATTTTTTTAGGAAGTTATTTTACTTATTTCATGGATGGTTATCTATACTAATATTCGTCTGTCTGTCACGTTTTCACGCGTAAACCACTGAAGCGATTTGATTAAATTTGGCATAGAGATAGTTTGAGTCCCGGGAAAGGACATATGATAGTTTTTATCCCGGTTTATGAAACAGGGACGCGCGCGATAAGGTTGAAAAGCTATAAGTATGTCTATAACTGACTATGAGTAGGACAAGTACCTAAATGAAGTTTCCTATAAAAATCACGAAGGGTACTTGCAAAATTACTAGAATTATAGTTTTCTTTTAACTGAATCAGTGTCCACCTACAAGGTGGACCGACGACATCGTAAAGGTAGCAGGGAAGCGTTGGACGCAGGCCGCTACCAATCGCTCAACATGGAAAGCATTGGGGGAGGCCTATGTTCAGCAGTGGACGTCCTGTGGCTGAAAAGATGATGATGATGATGATGATGAATCAGTGTCTGAGGTATAAGAGGTACGAGGAGCGGCACGGGAGGGGTGGATGACAGAGCATATATTTTTTTAAAACATTATTAGCAAATTGTATTTCACCCCTCGTGGTAAGCTAAGTAAGCTTGTATTACAAGTGGGCTCACCACAATAGTCGAGCGGCGGGATTCGAACCCGGATCTCGAGTCGGCCAGTCCGACCCCTTCACCGTTCGGCTATCGTAGTTAAATTAATTTAGTAATTTAGGGGCAAACCTACTAAATATCTCTGTGTTATACTCAGGCCGACATTTAGGCGATCTGATTAAACCAGAAAGCCCTTTGTTCAAAGTTGGNAAAGTTGTGAGAGAAAACTATAGCAATAGCCAATATACAACAGCAATTTAAAAGTTGGTGAATTATGTACAATATTATTAGTTATAGCCTAGTTTTTTCATAAGTTAATAAATAAGCCGTGTACTTTTATAGGTTTTAGGAACGATTTATCTAAATTTCATGAAGTTTTGTCTGCAGTTGGTGATAAAAATTGTGGAAAATTGATATTATATTTGATAGTTTTGTAAAACTAACGTTTTGAACGTCGAAAAATTATTTATGAAATAAGAGAGTGATTAAACTGAATGACTGATTGACTAAACCCACGCCCAGTGTGGTTTAAGTAACAAATTGTTTCGTTTACAAACGATTTGTTACAAAAACCAGACATTTATTTTTATGTTTTTAAATTTTAATCTTTAAGTAATATAAAATGCTCGATTATCATTCACTCACTGACTGATCAAGGGTGTTTTGGGGAGTTTTGGGGAGGNTGAATTTACAATATTAAATATGTGTATTAAGTATCTTGGGAAGTTTTCTAATTTACATAGTAAGTGCGTATTTTACGTTGTGCTTATTTTCAATTTCACGACCAAAACTTAATCTTCAAAAATACTTTGATTCAAAATCATGCTTACTTTTTAAACCCTAAAAAGTGACTCAAATTTTCGTTTTTGGTGTCTTCCAAGTGGATCAACTTTACGTTGATGATATCATCATGTCTTAAAAGGCTGTGACTGCTGTGAACCGATTGACACCATACATACATTAAGGCTACTTGTACACGAAGTATTTACTACACTTCGTAACATGGGACTTATATGATACCCACAAAGTTTCGCTTGTAGCACTTACAGGGCAGATATGTACCATCCTAGACTGCATCCCACTTAACATCAGGTGCGATTGTGGTCAAATAACTGCCTTGTTATGCATAAAAAAAAGATCTTTGTTTACATCCTTTTTGAAGCTATGGATGCAAACTGTCAACCAAAAAGGAGAACTAGAGGTACAAAAGTGGTTACCGGATTGGTTTAAACAGTTTGCAAGTCACTGATTTGTGTAAGCAGTAGAAAAAGTGAGTTAATAAACTCAATTTTTTTTTCACTGATAAGATCAAACATTATGACAAACATCCGACTCTCGGACTTATTAGCCACTCCGTAAGACTTGTCCGTAACCGTAAGTCCAAGTGTCTCATATGCCTTTTTCCTCATGGTGGAAACCCAGCCTAAGGACTGCAAGCAATGTTTACTTATGTAAAGCATGTGTGGGATATCACGTTCACGTCACAGTCGTGCCCATTGTATGACGCCATACATATTCAAGCAGGCCTGCCATGTTTATTCAGGATACCATATAACTCAATTAGTCACTGTACGCTATCGATAACACATCTATTTACAAGATTAGCGGCACTCAATGCCAAGCCAAAGTGACGCTGTAAATGCTGTAATTCCATAGTAAATACAAGGATTAATATCGAAATTCGCATGACGGTTATGTTGACTTTTTAGCTTGATTTTACTAGAGTTTAAGTTATTAAACCTTTATGCGGTAATTTGTAATAACACTCTGCTTCTAAGTCCATATCCATTTGTATGCGCGTGCGTACTCATTCTACTAGAATACTAGACGTTGTCTAATAGCAAGAAGCGGTATTTACATGTTTGTATTATCACGTGTATTGTTTTGAAACATTGTACACGAATACCACCAACAAGGTGAAGTCTTGTAAGAATCCTTGTTAACTACTGTATTTATGGCTCAAACTTGAAACTAACGTAACATGACATGTCAATTGTTTTTATGTTACGTCTATTATTACTTATTTTAAGACAAGCAATTTTTTTAATGTGTATTCTAATTAGACGCGATAAAGCTTATTACTCTTTGACATTAAGACTTCAAATTACGAAGTCATAACATTTGACACTGATTGTTCTAGCGGTAATTACAATTAGCATTGAAGACTCTTAACCAATGAAAGTAAAAGCAATTGCGTACTCGCACCTATGAGGTTTACGATTGCTGTAAAAGGAACACGGACGATACCCTTGCATAATAATGGTGACGATTATTGCAGTATAGTTCTTGTAACAATGTTAACTAACTCTAGTAAACATAGTATAATCTTTAGTTTAGGGCTTAGCTAATAAATAAAGACATGTATCGTTTTCAATGTCTCGTTTTAAGGTCTCATAGACAATGTTACAAAAAAAATATATTCCCAGGGTTAATACTACCAATTTTCAGTTATTATGATTAGAGTTTCCAAAAAATACGAACCTTTACGCACGGGAGAGTCCGTTTGTGGCTTTTTGCTCGTCGGAGTGTGCTTGCTCTTCCCTGACGCCACTAAAGTGCTGTAAAATAACAATTATTATGAAAAACATTTGATCTAATATCTACTAATAAATTATACCGCAATACGATGTGCATGTTTATTGTTCATAAAACAAAATCATAAATGTATGGTATTCGATTATATGTTTATTCGAAAATTGATAATATTGCGGTATATGTATTTAGTGGCTGCTGATTATATGGGAAATACCAAAACCACTAATTAGATTGGATTATTTTCCTCCTTCCATAATAATTTTCCCTGTAAATTACATAAATATTTTGCCCACAACATTCAAATATGGTTTATTTCTATTTAGAAAGAAAGAAGAAAGAAAGAAAAAATGTTTATTCAGTATCATCGACAATACACTTACAACAATACTTAAAATTATTTAATGAGTAGGTAATTACAATGATACTGAAAAGGTCCACTCAGCATGGTGTCGTAGCATCTCAGTAGATAATGCCACGACCCTGGTCTTCCGTGGACACCCAGACAAGGAGAGCACTACTAAGCATGTAAATAAGGAGTAATTATTATATTTACCTGGGAAAAAGTCCGACTTCCAACGTCCGTTGGTTCTGCCCTTTCCACCAGTGCAGCTCTTGTCTCTTGTCTATGAGAACAATCGCGTCTCCCGACTCTATGGTCATTTGACCTTGTCTTCGGTAACTGTAAAACAATAAAATTGCTAAAAAAAAGGCTATAAAATATACTAATTACTTCATTTGAACATTTATCATCATGATCACGACAGATAATTATTCGAAAGCGCGGTATTTTACTAAAAATGTTAATAACCATGAAATTACTGGAAAACGCGAATTGTTTTTGCTTTCTACACGATATTTTAGCATTTCATAACAAAACTGGAGTCGGCATTCATAAATAATTAGATTATGTATTATGATATCGGCAATTAAATGCACGCACATAATTGACATAATAGTATAGTAATAGTTATTAACATTATGATAACAAAGTGAACATTGGATTAAAATGCTATCCTCATTATAATTTATCTGCAAATATGTAACTAGAAAAAATTTAATGTCATTAAGGCCAATATAAATTGTAGGATCGATTTGTAAAGCGAAATAAATAGCCATTTGTTTATGAATCATACATGACAAGGCACACTTGTCAATTATAAATCAATCATGAGATCAAATGTATTATGGTATAGATCGTTTCATCCACGAAGACGCGCCCCACCACTCTTCCGCTAATGGTTGAGTGTTATCGGTACATGTTAAATTTATCCATGAGTGCACACGCACACTACAATAATGATGCTCGGATTGCTCGGATCAAACACGCCGCACCCCGCGCTTCCCTCGATCAAAAATTGGGGGGCGCGTCTTCGTGGATGAAACGATCTTTACAATATAGGGCTATTATACGATTTCTTTGCAAAATAGCATCTATTACAACTGTATAAGATGCGTCAATGTTCTTACCTAAACACCGCGATGGCCGTCTCAGACTTATTGGTGTCCATATACCGCATGATGCCAGCGAAAGTCGGCCTCTCCTTAGGGTTAAGATCCCAGCTCTGCATCATTAGCATGTATTCATGTAGATCTAATAAGGTCTACATTAAACACAATAGTGGTTATCTGTACTTACCTAAGTGCTNTGGGGAGGTGAGACTTTTAGTCCAGATTGCACCATTGAAGTAATATTACTACGTACTCGTAGTACATTATAACTCAATGGATTGCACCACCTTACTGTAACCGTAACATAACCATAACTAACTTAACTTTTGACGCTTGTTAAAGTTAATGTAAGATGGTGCAACCCAGCCTCAGTCTACAATGTTCAAAGGCTACATTTTGTCACCAGACATAAACAACGTATCAACACGCTTATTTGCACCAACAACAATAGGCTCGTGGAGTTTGTACGTTACGTAGTAGGATAACAACGAACATTACTCGTTGGTTAGGAGTTGTTCACGTTATGAGCGGTAGTGGTACCGGGAGCTGAATCTTTTGTAGAGACAAATGGACATCATCAGTCTTTCTGTATTAAAATTAATTTTACAAAATATGTAGTAATTTATAGACCTTCATTAAATTTTGAATTTTTTTAATACCTACTCATTAGAAGCTATATTATTTTGTAGAGACAAATAGACGTCATCAGTCTTTCTCTATTAAAATTAATTTTACAAAATATGAAGTAATTTATAAGTCCAGCTGATTTTCATCATAAGCGTATAGGTACCTAGTTAATTATTTTCGTAATGTTTGATGAAGATTTATTACAAACTTACTCATTGGATCCTATAGATTACAGCGTTGCAAGTAATATTATTGTTATTTTACCAATATCCTTAAGCATCCAAGCAGTTGTGGGAGTTCGAGATCCAAGCTGTTATCATGGTAAAGCCTGGTCCGTGAGCACGTAGAATTTTGTCCAATGACCCCAAGCTACCCATCCTTATCGCTCGCGTGTAATTATATTGCTGTCGCGACTGTGCGACGCGCGCCCGCAGTGAGTGTGCGAGCGCGACAGCAACATATTTACGCGCGAGCGATAAGGATGGGTAGCTTGGGGTCAGTGGACAAAATTCTACGTGCTCACGGACCAGGCTTTAGCTGTTGACTGGTGCTATTTTCCATTTATTCATTCCTTTATTTTATATCCTTCCATCATTGCCAAAATGAAATAGAAGAACAATTAAATTATTCAGCGTCCGCGTCCGCTTCAATCTAATTTGAGCCTTATTATCGACTCGCTAGCGTTTGGAACTCTAATAGAGATCCGTCAACAAGTCGGCAGATGCCACTTAATGATATTACCGCACAAATTAATGACAGCCATCCAATTAGGCATAGCACTATCATTACTGTGCGCCTGAAATGTAGGGGTCTTATTTTCAGTAAGCTAGCGTTTGAGCGTGAGTGTTTAAAGATGCCGTAATTAAATGGGATTGCACTCATAGATAAAAGAAGAAGAATAAATTATAAATAACTTTTTTGCCGAATGGATTTGCTGTTACGAGTACATACTACTCCTGTACTGACAGTAGAAAAAAAACTATTCGGCAACAAAAAAAAAAAACATAAGCTAGAGAGAGGTTAGGTTATTGTATTATGTATTTGTTTCTGTTACTTAAAGCATAGAAACACAAGGCTCTTGTCAAACTTGAATGACTCTACCAGTCATTTTTGGAAGAAAAAATATCGGCCAACAAAAATACTTGAATGTTCTTCCTCAAGGTCTAAATATAAATGTTTCCACAATGGCCGGGCTGGTGGCGGCCTGCATCTAGCGCCTTCCTGCTACTTTTATGAGGTCGTCGGTCCACCTTGCGTGTGGACATCCTACGCTGCGCTTTCCGGTACGTGGACTTCACCCCAGAACCTTTCTGCCCCATAGTATTTATTTACAATGCTGCAATGTTACATTGTCACAAGCCTATTTACTGGATTTGCTATTTGTTCATCACAAAATGTCACCGATCAAATTCTTACATAATCACTCTGTTATGACCAATTTCCATGGAACATAACAACTAATTGGATAATTAATTCCAGTGTACTATTACGATTATTTCGTTTACCCATTTGACGCGAAAACAAATAAATCGGAACTTTATAAGGCCCGGTTTCCACCAAAGCGGAGCGGAGAAGAGCGGAGCGGTGCGGAGACGAGAGGAGATGTGTGATCTGTGCGTAGCTGTCAGCTGTCAGTTGTTGCGCCGCGCCGCGGTCGCTGTCAAAGTCTTTGAAAAACAAGTGCGCCCGACACTTCTCGACTCTTGTCCGCTTGATCCATTTCCACCGAAGCTGAGCGGAGTGGAGATGTGCAAATAACGGAATGATTGGTTATTCACAAAACTTCTCTGCTCCACACTTTCTTACTGACTGAGTTTGTTCCGGCGTTTCTTCTCAGCACTTGCCATTTTGTCTCGAATCGCTGGTAGGGCCCAAAAGTTAAGGAGACATGTAAAGTGCCCCATAAGGGCTACCTTTTTTTTTAATTTACTGTATTTTGACGTTCATAAGTGCCACTACTGGTCTGAATTGAATAAAATATTTTTGATTTTGATTTTACGCACCGCTCCGCTTTGGTGGAAACCGGGCCTAATGCCAAAACGAAATGCAATAAAGTCTAAATTGGCTTGATAATTGCCATGTTTGTTGCACGGTACACTGGATGCAAATTTAATAAAATAAACACGCATCGGATAACAGACATAGTGGATTTGGGACACAACAAAATAATTCCCATGTAGATAGTATTTAAACAAAATACATTACCGAAACTGCGAGAGATTATTAAGTTAAAAGCTTTTGATTTAGTGTAAAAATGAAGATTTTGTAATGTATAAAAATAATTGCATTCACTTTATTTTCTATTTCACTATTCACATTAAAAAAATCCATACTTAGACCAAGAATAACTGCGGCTAGAAGGAAAAGAAAGCATTTGAAGGAAAGAAAGAAAGAAAAATTATTTATTTGACAACTAAAAAGTACAAAAACAATGAGGCGGAGAAAAAAAAATGTTGCCAAAGAGGTCACCCACTCAGTATTATCTTGACAGTTGACATTTTACTGCCAAGTGCCAAGACACTGGTTTTCAGTGGGTGCCTTGTACGCAGGGGCAAAAAAATATGATAAAATAAATTCAAATTAATTAAAATTCACATTTGGAATTAGAAGGCCTACAAGGCTCAAGTGAACAGGTCTCTTTTCTCAAGCTCGCTCCACCATAAATCGCATCTGCACCTCTTGTGTGAGAACAAAAAATAAGCTCATAGGTAGTAGATATTTTTCCTCAAGCGGAGATGATTTTCCCAATGACCGTCTGTAGTCAATGGTTTCCCGCAAAATCGACAACCTGATGACCCGATTGGACCTACGTTTATGACCTTCGACCCTTCAAGATCGGATCATGAAGTCGTGTATCGCTCAATCAGAATGTTTCTTCAACGTCCTAACCAAACTGTGGATGGTCAAACTGTAGCCCTTATCACTATGCAAATAACTTAGCCTCTGCTACTAGTGGCATGTACTGTCAACGAAATACTTTAAACAATAATTTTGCTACACTTGTATTTGTCCGCATCTTCGCCCATGTGTTCAGTTTGTTACAGAAGACCGAGTTACTTGACACATAATTTGATTAATTAACTTAGTTTCGTTAAAAAATATTGCCTAGGTTATATGTTATTCTGATGTATGTTTGTTTCGGCGTTTCTTCTCAGCACTTGCCATATGTTTGTCTCGAAGCGCTGCTGGTAGGGCCCAAAAGATAAGAAGACATGTAAAGTTTACTTCTACTTTTTTTTATTTACTATATTTTGACGTTCATAAGTGCCACTTGTGGTATAAATTTAATAAAATATTTTTGATTTTGTAAAGAACAATAAAACTGTAAGATTTGATAAAAATCCATTCTGTAGTTTTTAGCAAATATCCATCTAGCTATCCATACATCTTTACAAAATGTTTACATTTTTTATTAAAATACAAAATTGTTTATTCAGTACCACGTTTGCAGTTTTATATTAGTAAGAAGTAGGATAATAGCGTATAGCATTTATTATTATAATCACAGAAGATGCCATAATGTTTCGCTTTATTTGCTGTGACCCGTACACGTATAATATTACGTATGAGGTAATGACGTTGATGTATGGGTCTCGGATATCCGAATATTGATGGCAGGTCGAA